CACTGCATTCACAAATTCAAGTTAAAACTCTAACATGCAAAGAAGGAACCATTCATAATCTAAATCCAGAATCACCGCCGCCTTCTCTGGGCCCAAACTCGTTTAAGAAGGCGAAGTAGAAAAATGTGTTGTGGTCCGATGAATCAAACTTTGAAATTCTTTTTGGAAATCATGGACGCTGTGTCCTCTGGGCTAAAGACCACTGAGTTTGTAATCAGTTTGTAATCAGTGCACAGCAAAGTGCAGTATTCATGATGGTATTAGGTGGCATTTGTGCATATGGCATGGGTGACTTGCACATCTGTGAAGGCACCATTAATGCTGAGCAATATATACATATTTTGGAAACCTATGCTGCCATCCAGACAACGTCTTTTTTAGGGAAGTCCTTGCTTATTTCAGCAAGACAGTGTCAAACCACATTTTGCATGTAGTACGACAGCATGGCTCCACAGTAAAAGAGTCTGGGTACTAAATAGGCCTGCCTGCAGTCCAGACCTGTCACCACTGAAAACATTATGCATTATGAAACGGAAAATATGACAAAGGAGACCCAGAACTGCTGAGCAGATGAAATCCTATATGAAGCAAGAATGGAAAAACATTTCACTTTTAAAACAGCAGTTGGTCTCCTCAGTTCCCAAACACTCACAGAATGTTGTTAAAAGAAGAGGTCATGCAACAGTGGTAAACATGCCCTCATGCCAACTTTTTTGAAATATGTTTCTGGCATCAAATTCAACATATATTATATGTTATATATTATGTATATTATTTAAAAACAACTACATTTTTCTATTTCAATATTTGATTGTCTCTGCACTGTTTTCAATGAAATATAGGGTGTACATTATTTGCATATGCATTTTATGCACCTTTGATGAAAAAGGCAAGTAAGCTTGAGTGAGAGAACACTAAAATGTACATATAGAGTCATTAAACAGAGGCTGTTATGTTAGAGAAAAGGCAAGCAAAAAGAGGTTTTCAAACTGAAGTACTGTAACATTGTGACACCTGGTGCTGGCATACCGTGGCTTGACTTATGGGTCTGGGCAGTTGCCCAGTGCATTGCCCAACACGACATTCACCCCAAGGCCACACAGGCAATCGGCAGCATTGCTGAGCATCATGTGAGACGTCGACATCTGGATGATAAGTTATATCAGATGGAAAAAAACACCATGATTTTGTCTGAGAAGATTAAAGGTGTTGATGTGGATTACTTATTTGATGACTATGAGAAATCAATGAAATAAAAAAAATATAGAGATAGTACAGTATGTTTGACAAAGGAAGAAGAAAGAAGGTAAGCTAAAAATGTTGCTGATGGAGAACAACAGATGGAGAACGTGTTGTTTTGGAGGTTTAGGATGCCTTGCTTTGTGTTATATTTCTCCACAATAGAAAAAACCCTTAAAATCTAAAATAAAAAACAAACAAATGAACTACATTCTGCTTAGCTGAGCCAAACATCCAATCTATATGCCAAACATGACCTTAGCTGACCCAGTCTCTGTATTTTGAAAAGTAGGAATTGTTTTGGATGGAACAAGGTAGATCCTTTTTACATACCAAAAACAGTCATAATTCATTTTTACATGACCAGTTTTCAATTAAAAAAAGTAAGTAAACTTTTTCAAACAGACTGTTTTGGTCACTGTGTTTTTACGACTAATATATGTAAACGACCTCAACACTCCTTCAGCCTGAGTGGACAGGGCTAATCTGCTGTAGCACAGAGGTAAATGAGGTTATGGATAAAGCTCAGATAAAACACAGACAGAATTGTCAAACAGGGTTGTTTTTTTTTTTAATTTGGCCATGAACAAACAGCAACAGCCTTGCCCTCCTTTTTCTGCACGTAACAGAGCGAGAAGAATGTGGTTCTCCTTTCTCTTGAGTCTGGAACCCATAGACATCACCAGACGCTGGATTCTTGATCTGGCCAGCTGCTGTGAATGTATTTTCCTCACCAGGGACAGAATTCTTGTCATCCACCACAGTTCTTTGCCGTGGTCTTCTGGGCCTTTTGGTGTTTCTGATCTCACTGGCGTTCTTTCTTTTTAAGAATGTGCCAAATATTTGATTTGGCCATACTCAATGCTGTTAAGTAATGTTATTATTTCTCTGATGGGTTCAGTTAAATTTTTCAGCCTGCTCCACTGGAAATGGAACCCTTTAAACTTCAGTTTGAGAGTTAACAGCAACAGATTTCAAATGCAAATGCCACATTTCACATCAACTAGAATTTGCTTACTTGTAAGAGAAATAATGAGAGGATAACACACACCTGGCCATGGAACAGTTGAGTAGCCCATTGTCCAGTTACTTTTGAGCTCCTAAACATGGGGGCCTATGGTATGAGAATGGCTGTAATTGCTACACCACCCAATTTGGATGGAATTACCCTCAAAGTAAAGCTAAAAATGTGCACCTTAAAATCATATTTAATTTCAACTCTGATATGCTTTAGCAACAGTGGTCAACACATGGTCTTAGTTAGGGTTGAGGAGCTTTGAAAAGAAGTGAAAGATTTTTGTAAATGATTTTTTTTTCACCATTTTCTTCTGTTGGATTTGAGCTGACCGGGACTAAATTTGGCGTAGGTCTCCCGTTTAGAGCTAGCAATATGTATACATCAGCTACTCTTGTTCTTCTCCCTCCCATAAAGTGACTGATCTTCCACTGCTCTGAGTCCCAGACAAAACTCCTAGCAAGTAGGTTATTTAAGCTTTTTCAAATTTGTTTCTAAAACACTTTACAATACCGTTTCCTAGTTAATAAGTAACTAATCAGGATCTAAGCAGGGACCAATGAGTAGTGCTACATTAACACTTAAGTAACTACTATTAACTACCAAGGAGTCAAGTCAAGTCAAAGTTTATTTATATTGTGCTTTTTACAACAGTTGTTGTCGAAAATGCTTCTTTACAGAAAAATCCTGGTCAAAGCCTCCATTCACCTGCTTCTTGTTTGAATTGTCCTGCTGCACCATTTAAGGTGGAACGGGAAGATTCCAATGAAAATCTGGAGAATGAGAAGCTGACTTCAGCTTCACAACTTGTTGCAGATTAAACGTATGAGGAAACCAGCTGAGTGCTTATAAATGCAGACAAGTCCATTCATCTCCAAATTATCGATGTTCGTCTTAAATCTTTCTCTTTGCCATTTTGTTATCTGTGTTGCTGTGTGTCCAGCTGTCTGCGCTTCGGTGTTGCGCGTTAAAGGTTGGTAAATTATGAGTTATGCGTTAACTCCAGCATTTAAGACCATTTATTGTGAAAACCGTGTTAGAACTGTGTGTTATAATGATTTTACAGTAAAGGAGGATTATGTTATTTTACCTAAAAATCTAGTTCTGCTGTGGATCCGCAGCAGCTCTGCAGCAGTGGAGAGATTATTCAGCTGCACAGGCCTGATTCTCACCCCAAACAGAGCCAAGGCCACTGGTGCGGCTAAAGTGTTGCTGAAGTTGACTCTGAATGTAAATATCTTGCTAAAATGTTTAAATTGGAGCATTTTAATTTCAACAGTTGACAATACTTTGTACAAAATTCTCTGGTTTGTATTCAGTTATATTTGTGGATTTTTGTTGGGAAAAACCTGGAATGAGTGACTTTGCCATGAGTCTAAATTTTTGTTGGATATCACACCTTTGATTGTGTGCGTTTGATTGTTGGTTACACTTTTTGGTGATCTTTTTGTATATTTGCAGCTTTTCAATTGTATGTTTCTTTCTAGCACATGATTAAATGCAGTGTCTTGTTCACAGTTGGGCTTGTTTGGTGTGTCAGGTGGAGATTCACATCTTGTAATAACGACATGCTGAAGGGTTTAGTTTTATTCTGCTTGGCAGCAATACGCTGCCTTACCAGGGCTTTAATACACTTAGTATACGTCTCAAGTGCAAAGTGAGATGAATGTAATACAGTGAATGAATGTAATCATGCAGCCTAAGTCATTATTTCTGGTTTTGCACATCAGTCACTGTATATAATGACAGGATAAGACCATGTTTTTCTATAAAGATTTAAAAGAGGAGTAAAACTATAATTTCACAATCTTTTTACAGGACCAGCTTAAAAACTCTTTTCTCCCCACAAGATTAACATTTAGACAAGATGCCTTGGAGTAACTAGAGTTCACCATCCAAACTGAACTGTGAAGCCAACTTCACTTCTAGATTCTGGCCGTGTTTCTAATACATGATGAAATATCAATATTTTAGTATTACTAAAACATTAAAATACTCGTGGAAGTTTCTTGAGGGGTTTACACAGCAGTAAACTGATACTGTGGTATCTATTATACTCTTACAAAACAATGAAGAGCAGTTAAGTTAGCCAACGCTGCTAACCTGAGGGAAGCAGAAAAGCAGTTATGCAATGTTACACGTTATCAAAGATAGGGATTTCATTTAGTTTATGTGAGGTTAAGACTTTATTTAATACAACAGTGAAGACATTTAAATTTAAAAGAATAAAAAAAAAAAAATGATTTGGTACTAGCATCAGCAGCTGCTGCTGTATCAACATATACCTCACACTGAGCGCCACTGAGTGTTTGGAGGGGAAATGAAATCACACATAAACATGCAATGCCCACAAGTAGAGCGCTAACAGCGCCCCCTGCTGGTCGGTCGTGTTGTCCTTTACTTTAATTACTATTTGTCATTTGGCCAGGGGTGTCCAAACTTTTACACACAACTGTATACTCACATCTTTTTGGCTCTGTGAGCTGTCACAAGCCTCCTAAATGTAAATGTGTTCAACCTGCACTGAATATACTTTTTTATTGATGTTTTAGACCCTGGAACACATTTTTCACTTTAACCATGTTTTTCAGGTAATGTGGTACAGTGCTTTAAGTCTGTGTGCACATTTCACTATATTACAAACATCAGCAGTATTTTAAAAATTTCAGTAATGAATATATATCTCACTGAAAAGAGGTACATGTGTACCTTTTTTGCTTTGAGAGCACTGAATTTCAATGACATGTTTGCAGTTTGCATGAAATCACTTTATTAACTGTTGTTAGACATGTTAGACATTGCATCTGGGGTTGAACATGATTTCACAGTTTAAAGGATAAACAGGCAGATTGAGAAAGAGTTTGATGTGATGATTGCTGGATATCAGCGGTGTTCACAGATGTATTGAACAAAAAGCCTACTCTACCCAAACAATGGCATCATTAGTCTAACATTACGAAGACTTTTTTTTACAGAGATGTTCAGTTGGCATAATAGTAGAAGTACAGAGTGTCTTTTTTAGGGAGCATGTCTTACTACCAAACCCTTTTAACAGTTGGTATTCACAGCTGCTCAGGTGATGAGGAACGCTGATAGATTTTTCCTTGAGTACCACAAACCTCAGGGGTTGATTCAGACGTGCAGCTGGGTATGGTGAACGCTTCATTCCTGTTGAGATCAGCTGTGCCCTCAATGGTGTTGGTGCTTAGGGGGTGGCTGTCGAGGGTTGCTTCGACATGCGCATCAGGCTGGTTGACCAGAGCCTTGTCTGGAATCCTTTTGGCATAAAGCGGCGACTCAGTGACAGCGGCATCGCTTAACATCACATGAGATGCCAGGACCAGGATAGCGAGGTATATCAGACGAGGAGAGAACGCCATGGTTTCGTCTGTGAAGAAAAAGAGGATAAAATTGGATGAATCTTTAAAATCTTAGTAATTTTTTCAAGTTGCAGTAAAGAATTGCCATTTTTTTCTCTTGTGACAGAGCTCATTGTCTAAGGATCAAAAAGCAAAGAAGAAATACAGGAGCCTACAATTGTACCTGAAAGCTGGAGTCTTGGATCTCTGGATGAATGGACGAGTTGTAGTTCTTAGTGAGTGGCTTAGCTCAGCTCCAATATAAAGAAGGTCTGTTCCCAAGCCAACCTTGAGCTTATCTACAGTTAACCTAGTCTGATGTATTTCAGCCAATAAGAACGGCTCTGGTTGAATTAGAGTAAATATGCACTAAAACTTAGGTATCTCCTGTATTCAGGAAAAGTGTCAATTTTCTTTTTGTGGGAAATGGCGCATCTGTTGTATGGAAATACGTGCAGATTACAATGGAACTCAGCCATCTGACTAACAAATCCAGTGTGTGCAATACTAATAGACATCATGTGTGCTGACCATGAAAAGCGTGTCATTAGAGGGTTTTCACTTCAACCCTATTCTAACCAACATGCCAGAAACGTTGCCTTCATCTCCTGGGTTGTGAAGCACAAGGTACTATGAAGCTTAGTTAGACTCAGAATGATAAACAGAGCTGAAGATGATTCTAAAATGATTGAAATGATTGCTGTTTAACATCAAGAATAAGGTTCTATTAAAATTGAAAAATTTTGCATTATAGACCACATTCAAGACTTTTATGATATACACTGTTCAGAGTGGGCTTTGCACATAGAAGAAATATCAGTACTATATCATGATTTGTACCACCTTTGTTAGAGAAATTAAAATGTTTTACATCATGAATCCCTACTTCAAAATTGGTGATCAAATTTCAAAGCAGAAAATGTACAATATTATATTGTTAAATGTGTTGTTAAATGCCTAATTGTAGTACAACCCCATTTCCAAAAAAAGTTAGAATGCTGTGCAAAATGTAAATAAAAACAAAATGCAACAATGTGCAGATATTTAAGTGCTATATTTGATTGAAAACAGTACAAAGACAACATATCAAATGTTGAAGCTGAGAATTGTTATTGTCTTTTTGAAAAATATTTTTGAATTTGATGCCAACAACACGTTCCAAAAAAGTTGGGATGGGGCAACAAAAGGCTGATAAAGTTGTGTAATGTTACAGGTCAGTAACATGATTGTGTATAAAAAAAAAACATCTCAGAGAGTCCGGGAAACCGAGCCTGGAAGTCTGCGATGAGACCAGGATCCAAAAGCAATGCAGCTTCGCAGAAACCCAGCAACGGTCCTCGGGACCGTAACCCTCCCAGTCGATGAGATATTGAAGTTCTCGACCACGCCTTCAGGAGTCCGGCACCTTACGCACGGCGTACACAGGAGAACCATCCACCTCAACAGCAGCAGGTGGCGAGTCACCAGGAAGCACCTCCTCCAGCGGACCAGGAACGACAGGCTTGAGGAGAGAAACGTGAAAAGCATTTGACATGCGATTCTGAGCAGGCAATTCCCATTGGTAAGTTACATCATTTATTTTCTTAGAAACCCGATACGGACCAACATACTTTGACTGCAATTTCCTGCAGCCCCCCTCAAACCTGAAATCCCTGGTCGATAGCCACACCCGGTCACCAGGTTGATAGAAGGGGGTCTCACCACGGTCTGTCGGCCTGCTCCTTGTAATGTCGTAAAGCTTCCTCAAGAATGAGACCATGTGATTAACCTGTCTCTAAACCTTTCTGGGACATAGAGCTTCCCCTCCGGACATCCCTCAGGTGTAGGTATGTCGGATAGTGACTGTTCTATTTCTTCATCAAGTTGGGTGCTACTGTAAATCAGGGTGGAAGGATAAGTTCTGGTTCTGCCTGAATCTCCTCCCTGCTTTCCTCCTGGAATACTCTAGACAGGGCATCTGCCTTAGTGTTACGGTTACCAGGGCAATATGTGATCGTGAATCTAAACCGAGAGAAAATTATAGACTAACGTGCCTGACGAGAATTCATACGCTTAGCTGTGCGAATATATTCTAGGTTCTTATGATCAGTAAGTACCTGAAACGGGTGTGCATCCCCCTCCAGCCAGTGACGCCACTCCTCTAACGCCAACTTTACTGCCAGAAGTTCCCTCTCCCCTATGCCATTATTACGTTCCGCTAGCGATAACTTGTGTGAGTAAAAGGCAACAGGATGGAGCTTGGGTGGATTACCACTGCGTTGGGATAGCACGGCCCCAACCCCAGTTTCAGATGCATCAACTTTGACGACGAAAGGGGAGTTAGGGGCAGGATGCTTCAGTATAGGTGCTGTGGTGAAGGCGCGTTTTAGATTATCAAAAGCAACCTCTGCCTGGACCGACCATGCTAGTTTCTTAGGAGAACCCTTAAGAAGAGCAGTAAGAGGGGCCGCTATGGAACTGTAGTTGCGTATAAACCATCTGTAAAACTTGGCAAAACCCAAAAAACGTTGTAGTTCCTTGACTGACTTGGGGACAGACCAGCTAGTAACAGCCTCTACCTTTTGATCACTCATAACCACTCCCGTGGAACTTATAACATAACCCAAAAAGGAGACTGACTGGAGGTGGAATTCACACTTTTCACCTTTGACATAGAGATTGTTTTCTAACAGACGCTGTAACACCTTGCGTACATATTGAATGTGTGACTCAAAGTCAGACGAGAAAATCAGGATGTCATCAATGTAGGCAATGACAAATGTTCCAAACATATCACGTAGAACGTCATTGATGAAAGATTGAAACACTGACGGAACGTTCGCAAATCCATAGCTCATGACTTGGTATTCGTAGTGCTCCCTAGTGGTGACAAAGGCAGTTTTCCATTCGTCTCCCTCTCGACCACGGACTAAATTATAGGCACTGCGTAGATCCAATTTGGTGAAATAGTGTGCACCTTTCAGCTGTTCAAGAGCTATTGGGATCAGTGGAAGAGGGTAAGTGAACTTTTTAGTTACGACGTGGTAACGGTTCGACAGGAATGTTGAGTGGGGCAAAGACGTCCTGATGAATGAAGTTACCCTCGGCTCCAGAGTCGATCAAGGCTGAAACACAAATAGACTGTTGTTGGCAGCATACAGTGACAGGTAAAAAGAACAACTTGGAAATCAACCCCTTTGTGGGAATACTCACCACACGCTTTCCCGGGGTTGGCGTCTGGGTTCTGTGTGAACACAGTCCACAGTCACGTCGAACGTGATTCGAACCTCCACAATGAAGGCATAGACCACCATGGAGCCGACGAAGACGTTCCTCCTTTGACAACCGGTATGAATCACACTGCATGGGTTTGGGTGGCAAGCTAGCTCCGGTGACAGGACTGGAAACCATGTTCCGGACTTTAGTATTCACTGGATTGTGTTGCTTCACACGATCCTTGGGGCGTTTGCTCAGAAGCTGATCCAGGTGTATAGCGAGAGAGAGATCAGCTGATCCAATAAAAGTTTGTTATCTTTACAGGCAAGTTCAAACCATGGTGAAAAACATTCTTAAGGGCAGGTTCGTTCCACCCAATACCTGCAGCTAGCGTGCGAAACTCTAATGCATAGGAGGCGGTTGCCCTGTCTCAGAGCTAGGAGCAATTCACCACTAGACTGTCCCTCAGCAGAGTGGTCAAAAACTTGACGAAACTCAGTCAAAAACTGCGAAAAAGTCTTTCTATGGATGTTATCCCAAACAGCGGTAGCCCTGTCTAAAGCCTTGCCAGTAAGACAGGAGACAACGAAAGCCATCTTAGCTTGGTTTGTGCTGGGTGGTGAGTTGTTAAAAAACACAGAGCACTATAACAAAAAGCAAGGTCAAACACGGAAGGATAAACAGACATTGAACGCTTCGTGATGCTAGTAGGCTAGTCAAAACTCGGCAAAGAACAATACAACAGGGTGAGTATATATAGGCTGGGACACAGGTGAAAAGAATCAATACTCAGGTGATTGAGAACAGGGGTACGTCATGTGACTCTGGTTAGAAGTCACGTGAGAGTCATTGGCATCATGGGAAATGGAGTCCTGTTCGAAGTGTGACATTCAGAAGTAAAGATGAGCAGGCGTTCATCACTTTCACTCTGTGAATGATTGCGCAGACAAATAGTGCAACAATTCAAGAATAATATCTCTCACCGTAAAATAGCAAAGAACTTTTACTTCTCATCATCTACGGTACATAATAACATTAACAGATTCAGAGAATCTGGAGAAATCTCTGTACGCAAGGTATAAGGTCAAAGACCAGTATTTGCCTGCCATGATTTTTGGGCCCTCAGGCAGCACTGCATTAAAAAAAGACATGATCCTGTAGTGGTAATCACTGCAATCACAAGCACTTCTGAAAACCACTGCCTGTGAAAACAGTTCTTTGCTGCATCCACAAATGCTAGGTAAAGCTCTAAAATGCAAAGAGGAAACCGCATGTAAACAGGATCCAGAAATGCTGCAAAAAACATTTTATTTTACAAAAAACAATAGAATTTCTCTGTCTCAACATCTGATATGTTGTCTTTGTAGTATTTTCCTTCCAAAATATGGATTTGCATATCATTGCATTCTATTTTCATTTACTTTCTGCACAGCATCCCAACTTTTAACATTTTACCAAACCAGTAAAACTAGAAAGCAAAGATGCTAACAGGCCAGTAATATTCAAAGACAAAATTTAAATTCAGAATATTTGCTTCAGGACTTAAAACGCTACATGAATATGTGTTCATATGTGCTTATGTAGTGTTTGGCTCTTTTAAATTTTCAGCAGAACGCATTAGAAACTGGCACACCCAAGTGGTTCAACTGAGTGAACATGTTCAAGAACCGCAGAGGTTTTGCCCGGTCTGGAAACACTGCTTTGGCTCTTGGTTTAACCAGTTTTTGAAGGACATTCTAAAATGCTTAATGTGAAAAAACTTAATGTTAAAATGGGGTTTTTAGGTTCATCCATTTGGTTGTAGACAGTCCTCAAGACCAATAATATGTGAGAGAATTTGGGTGTGCCTAGCTCACTGGTTGTGACAGTCAACAGGCAGTATGCTACAAACTAATGTCAGCTAAGTAAGTTAAGCCATCCTTGGTGTTACCAGTGATGAGCCAGTTTTGGATGTGATAGATTTTCGCCATGCAAATATTTCTTTTGTTTATACGCTTCTCTGAACAAGAACAATGATTTCCTCAGTTGTACTTATTTTTAGTAGGATATATTAATTTAAAAAATCAACAGTTGTACAAACTAAAAGTTGAGATGTTTTGTT